GGCAGCCAATCGATGTTTCTCTCACATCAATGTTTCTCTCTCTCTCTCTCTCCCCCCCTCCCTCTCTCTCTAAAATCAATTTAAAAAAGCATATCCTCGGTGAAGATAAAAAAAATTAAAAAGAAAAACTCCATACTGCTTTTTAGCAGACTGCCTATTTGATGTTTAGGATTAAATTTCAAATAGACAAATCACATACAACATTTGCAAAACTGAACTCTTCTTTCCCGCAGATCTACTCTACCTGCAGCCTTTTTGAGCTCAGTGATGGCAACTCCATTCTTAAGGTTGCTCAGGCCCAAAACCTGAGGACTCATCCTTTATTCTTCTCTTCCTCTTATACCCCATATTTAAACTTTTAGGACATCTTGGTGGTTCTGTCTTCTTCAAACTGTTCCTGGATATGACTGAATGATCATTTTACAAATTTTTTTTAAAAAGGCTGAGAGAGGTTAAGGAAACAGCTCAAATTCGCAAAGCTAGTGATAGAGTCAGAATTCAAATCTGAAATTGTTATAATTGCTTTTTTATTCACATGGTTCAGAAATACAATCTGACCTATTGTATAATTGGGTATTTTTAAACAGTGTGTGTTATTTCAGTTAGGTTCTGTAGGAATTTTATTCTTGTTTATTTGTTTTTGGTTTAAAACAGCAGACATTTATTCTCTCACAGTTCTAGAGGCTAGAAGTACAAAATCAAGGTGTTGGCAGGGCCGTGCTCTCTCTGAAGGCTCTAGGGCACCATCTGTTCCCTGTCTCTCCAGTTTCCGTGTTGCTGGCAGTTCTTTGCATTCCTTGGTTTACAGACACATCATGCCAATCTCTGTTTCCTTCTTCACAGGGTGTTCTTCCCTCTGGTTCTGTAGGAGTTTTCTAGGCACATAGTGGTTATTTCATAAATTCTTGCCAACAGAGTTGAATTAAATCTGCCCTCATATTTTGCTCTAAGTCAAGTACCATGTGTCCAATTGCAGGATATAATTGGATATAAGTGTGTATTGGATGAAAAAAAAAAGGATATTAATGAAATTCAATGTCTTTTAAAAAGCTCTTTTTCAAAGATTTTCTTGTTATATATCTCTATTTAGAACATGTATTAGCTCTTCCTCTCTCATATATACTTTTCTATTTGCTGGAGTTTTCATATGTAATGTTGATCTTGATATTAATCATTTAAGCTTAGATTATGGAATTATTATTTAAATTATTTAGAATTTTCTCTCAAGAGTTCTATATCAGAAGGATATGTTATAACTTAAATCCACCAGATTCTAAGTTTCTCTAATAGGTTATAATGGCAAAAAGAAAAGAAATGTCACTGTTCATTTGATTCTTGAGACACCCCTTTATTTTCTGATGTACTGTTTGTATTTTAATGGAAGTTATTTGTGCTGATATAATTCCATGTAGCACAAATAAAGTATGTTAAACTGAATTTTGCTGAGGTTGATTGACAGTCTTGAAGGAAGCCAAGATTAACCTTTTGGGAGATGTCCATTATGTCTGTTGATGTGACGTATTTAGAAAGTTGATCATTGTTTTTCTTCATTTCTACATGTAGAACATTTATCTGTGTAACAGATTTTAGGTAAAGAGCCCTTGGAATCACTAATTCATCTTTTTTTTTTTTTTCCACTTCTAAATTTGTATTATAACTTTTTGTTTTGTTCTATCGGTTTGTGTTATTTTGTTCCAAGGATGAAATTTGATGAGTATTTAATTGATAAAAGCAATTTCACATCTCAAGTTTTATATTATCTGTTTGTCTACTTACCTACCTATCTTTGCTTTGATAAAAATACATAGCATGCAATCACTTTTTAAATATTTTTATAGACTTTGGAAGTATCTCTTAAAGCAATTAGATGATATGTAAGGCATTGAAAACAGAAACTATGTCTAGTAATTACTCCCTATGATGACTGAACGAGTTAAAGATGTATGTAACTGCAGCTGTAGGCATATATTTAGAAAGGATATTTAATTTGCTACTTTTAAAAAAATATGGGTTGGCAAACAAACCTAAAATAAAAGTTCAAAAACGAGATATTTTATTTCTGGAATATGTGTTAGTTCTGTTACCATTTGCGATGATGGGTATCTCTGGGTCTTTATACTGTGAAATAAACTCTGATCAACTACATTGCTGCCTTTTCTTTTTTATAGTGTATGCCGATTAAAGGCCTTGGATTTGTGCTTGGAGCCTATCAGTGCATTTGCAAAGCAGGATTCTATCATCCTCGAGTCTTCTCAGAGAACAACTTTCAGGGTAAGTGCTCTTTGCTTTTGAGCATATAAATGAATACACATAATATCTACCATTATTAATTATTCAGATATTCTTTTAACCTTGTTAGAGTTATATGGTTAAAGCCCCACTAGTTTGGATTCTTTCATCACTTAAGGAGTTCTTACTTTTGCCATATGAACAACTGTAAACCTACTTTTGCCCACCCCTGTATGTTTATTTTTGATATATTTTAGTTTCAGTACATTTTAAAGGTCTGAAAATTCAGTAGGTACTCTGTCAGACCAATTGGGATTCTATTCCATACAGAGCTGTTGCTGCAGAAAATCTCTAAAACTAATTTTTCTACTTTGTTTATTCTGTTTATCAATTTGTTTATATATTAGTGTTCTGTGCTGAATAAAGAATTACCACAAAATTAACAGCTTAAAGGAACACAAATTTATCATTACACTGTTTTCATTGGTTAGCCTTCCAGTCGGGCATTAGCCTGGTCCTGTGCTCCGGGTCTCGCCAGGCCAAAATCAAGGTGTCACCTGGGATGGGATGGGATGGGATGGGATACGAAGCTCAGGATGTTCTTCCAAAATGATTCAGGTCATTGGCAGAGCTCAATTCCTTGCAACTGTATGCCTGAGGTCCCCGTTTTCTTACTAGAGGTCAGCTTGGGCTTACTCTTAGCTCCTGGATGTGTACTCAAGTCCCAGCACGCGATCCTCCCACAACACTGCCGCTTATTTCCTCAACGCTCGCCGGAGAGTCTCCGCAGTGTGCCCGGGTGGAGTCTTACATGGCTAATGCAGTCGTGGCAGTGACTGTTCTGTCATTTTGCTGCATGCTGCAGCCTAATCAAAGGAGAGGCTGTCCTGTCAAATTTACGTTCAAGAGGAGGTGATCATACAGGGTGTATACCCCAGAATCAAAATGTGGTCACCTGGTTATTTTATTCCTACTCCAGGAAATATTGGTGTTACAATTTGAATATTGATTGTTTAGTCTATCTGTAGAGAATATAATGTTGCCATATTGGCTTCTAGCCAGCTATTGGATGCAATAACTAAGAAGGAGATAGTGGTAAAAGGGGATGGTTTCATGGGCAGTTAGGGCTTAGGGTTGTTAAAAATGAGGAATAGGTAGTTTTTAGATAGTCACCCATGAGCCTCATTATTGGTCTGAATGGGAATTTACATCTCTACTAGGCATAGTTCAAAGGTTATATTGAGATTGAGATCTGAGTATCTTATTTCAGTAGACATTTATAGTTTATTTGTTTTTTTCTCTTGAAAAACACTACTCTTGGTCTTGAGACTGTTTGCATTTAACTTTTAAGTTCTGTAGGTAAGTAACATTTTCCTCTCTCCTAGTGACACAGTACAGAGGTCAGCTCATGCTCTGAGTGATAGTTGTAGGCATGATTCTGAGGTATGAGATGGCTTTCAAGACTGCTCCCATATGTGCTGTCCAGCCCCCTCCCCCTAATTGTGGGTAGGATCTATGAGTGCAGTGGGCAGTCACGCCCTTGCCTAGGTTATGTTGTGTAGCAAAGGTGATGGTATAGTCACTCTTGTGATTACAATGCATTAAATAAGACTCCTTCCCATAGTAACAGAGTGTAGAGAGATTGTAGCGCTGGCTTTGAGGAGGTAAACCATCTTGTCATGAGAGGGTCACATCTGAGGGTGGCCAATCAGGGCAGACAGCAAGGAAACAGGGACCTCAGTTCTACAGCTGCAAGGAACTAAGTTCTTCCAACAGCCTGAACACTTGGAAAAGGACCCTGAGCTCCCGATGAGAATAAGCTTGGCCAAAACCCTTCAGTTCAGTCTAGAGAGACCCTGAGCAGAGAACCTAGTTTCACTGTGCCCAGACTTCTGATCAACAGAAACTGGGAAATAATAAATAGGCCTTTTAAGCCCTTAACTTTCCAGTAAGTTATTATATAGCAATAGAAAATTAATACAATAGCAATGATGATAACATATTTTTAAGATGGATATGCTTTTCCTTGCATGTGTGTGGAGCAAACCATGTCAGTACTAGAGCTACTTTGGCATTTTTCACACTCACGTTCCAGGCATAACATATGATTCAACACTGAAGGATTAAGGAAATAGGTTTTAGCTTATGTTCTGTGAAGGTATTTTGTATCTGGTTTACCCACATTTGTTCTCAGCTCCCACTGTGTGACTGAAATAAAACATCTAAATATTGTAGAACCAGAGAATGACTATACCATTTGCTTATAACACCACCAGGAGAAACTAGTTAACCTTTAACAAGTTATCTTTATTTAATTTGCACACTCCTACTTTCTTCCTTACAAGCCAGTGTTTTTCACTGGACCTACTCCCTCTCAGAAAAGGCTGCTTGTCTGCGTAAGTCTAACTCTCATGATGTACACACTGCAGCCGTGAAGAGAGACCCGCTTTCAGAAGGAGGGGCCTCATTTGGGCGTAGATGCGGCTCAGCTTTGACCTCAGCACATACTTAACCAGAACTGACCTTCCTCAATGACAGAGCAGAAAGCTAGCTACGGGTTACCATTTGAATTCAGTAAAGTGCTTTTTGACCAAAATATCTTTCCTGACGACCTTGTCAGGTTTCACGAAAATCCAGCGTTACACATTCCTCGTCCTAAAAAAGAATACAAAAGCCCAACCAGAATCACGCCTTATAACTCACCAGTGTCACCTACCAAGGACTACTTTAACGTTATTTATATTTTTGGTTTATTGTTAGAATATTTACTCTGTATTCTAAAATATTAAGTCTTTTAATCACAGTGCTCAGGCAGTTCGTATGGGCAGTTTTTGTTGTTGTTTGTTTGTTTTGTTGTTTGTTTTTGGTTTCATTTTTATTTTGTTCTTGAGGAGGTGTTCATGAAGTAAGGAATGGTCCAAGGTACAGGAAACTTTGAAGCCCCCCAAAATGAAATAACACATGTAAAACTGCTAGCGTAGTACATGGCACATAATAAATGCCCACAGATGTAATTAAATAAGTAAATAAGCAAAAAAAACCCACCATATATACATATATATAAACAAACATCAGTAATATATGTAAAGAGGTAAACCTTAAGCATCATTGGTCAATAGCACTTTACCAAACATATTTTATCATATTAGGGTAACAAGTTTTTTTAAACTAGAGCCTTTGGAGAATGAATTCAACGTGGATCAGAAGGGAGATGTGACAGCAAAAGTCTCTAACAACCAGGGTTGCACTGGGAAGCACAATAGGAAGAATACTTGGGAGTGAGAAACAACAGGGGGAAATTAGTTGCCTGATAGAGAAAATGCAATATAGATATAGAAAACAGAAAAAGATGCACCTCAAACATAAAGTTTACTTAATTTGTAGTTGTAAATCTAGAAAAAGATCTGAAATCCCCACATCTATTATAGTCCTGTATCCCATTTGGACAGAAGAGCTAAGATGTGGTGCTGATTTGTTAGAGAAAATGTAAATGTGACTGCTAAAAATCCTGTTAAAATATGAAGTGATTTAAATGCTTTATTTAGATCTAGGCTCACAGTAAACAAAAGGCTTGTAAAGACCAACAAAGATGTGTTGAAATGACATGATTTAAAATTGTGCTGACAGCCCAGAGACTGTGTTCCTGGCATCTCTCTTGAAATTGGTGGTCATATGAGAGCTAATAGGATCTGACATCTGGGTAGTCTCGGGATTTCAAAATAACCAAGTGCTGACGCATAACTGTCTCTTCAAATCCAGGTTGTTCACTTCCAGGTTGATTAAATACAAGCTTATGAGAAGCTCATCTTCCTTAAATCTATCTGTCTTAGTATGAATTCTATCTTCAGTGAAATTTCTTTTCTTTTATGTAGACACATAAACAGCTTTTCACTCTTACCTCTCATCTTTTGGATTGACTTCAGCTCATATACATTTCCAGATAAACCCAACTCATAAATGATCCATACCTAAAAATGACAATCCCTGCTTTGCCAACTCTGATGCTATTGATGGTGGGAGGAAAAAGACAAAAAAAGTAGATGTTTTAAAAATATATAGCCTTTGAATAAAAAGAAGAGAAGCTCTTTGAAAGCAGGTACAATATAGGAATGCTGAGCTCTAAGCAAACTGTTCAGCAGAGCTAACATATCTGCAACGAGTTTCTTTTTTGTTGTTCTTGGGTCTCACACTCCCTATCTCTCTTCTGTTTCATGGCAGGAAAGCTTCAGATATTTTAGTTTCAGACGAAAAGAGCTTGGACGTCAGATTCTCATAATTAGCATAATCACTTTTGCTATTGGCCTTAAGCCTTGTGATCTGGGTCACTGTTTGCTGTATTGTGGAAACCTAGTCCTAATCAGTTTTACTCTAGTTGTAATAGGAAAATTCTTCATCTAACTGTCGGGCTTATGATTTTGTCTGAGTCATTTCTCTAATTTTCAATTTTTATAACCTCTTTCATTTGTCCTATTTGTAGGGATTGGGGTCCAGTTAATAAATGTATCTGGCAAATGGAATTAGTTGCCAGTGGAAGAGTGCCCAGTGGTGCCAGTCTTCTTGGACTGTTGACTGTTGTATTTGCCTTGTTTATCTTTGACTATGTTGTTTTCAATTATTGGGATATATTCAATACCACGTTGGACTTCCTTAGTTGCTAATCTCAGAACTAAAGTTCTACTATGTTTTAACACAATCATTAAGAGCATGGTCTTTGGAATAAGTCTTATTTAGATTTGAATCCTGGTTCTATTATTTCCTTGCACTGTGCTAAATAATTTACCTTCCCTAAACTTTATGCCATATATAAAATTGCTATAATATCATTTGCTTTATACAACTGACATAAGGATTAAATGAAGTAATGAATGTAAAGTTCTAATCATGGTAGTTTTTACATATCATATGCTCAAAAATATTATTTTTATGATTATTTAAAATCTTGTGTTTATTCTGCTTACCCCTTTTCTCAAATACTCTGCCGATTTTCATCTTTTTCATCTAGTATTTGCTCCACTTCCCAGCAGAGAAACATATTTCCAAAT